AAAGAGATGGAGGATTGCTGATAACCACAAAGACTACAGGGATCAGAGTGAACAGGAGAAAACAGGAGACAAACAAGGCCAGGACAAATTGATGAAACCCATTTTGGTTGAACTAATGGGCCGGTAAAACCACAATAAGTGACACAAAGAGCTGAGGAAGAAACAGCAATTTAGAAAGACAGATGAAATATGTAGGAGAAGTGGGAGCGTAGCTATGTAGTGGTGTTAAAGTAGACAAATAACAAGTGTAATATCCATATTAGCACTCATGATGGTACATTAAAAACCCATTATGGTTAGAGTGGCTCATTTGTATTTGATCGTGTCCGAGTACTTCGGAGATGTGCGACAGTCTATTTGGCCGACTTTGAAGGTAATCAGTTTGTATGTGTGTAACTCTGTGTGTGTAAGACATCGAGTACGTCTCACCTGGCCAGCACCTATGGTCCAGTAGAGGAAGAATCCTTCCGGATCAACTTTCAGGTTTATCAGCGTCGGCTGTGTACTGTTAGGCTCCTAGGCGACAACAGAAATGCAGATGTTAAAAAATTGCAAACACAAAATAAAGGTCCAAGAAGAGAAAAAACACAATGTGCAACTCAAAACAGGAGCCAGTGTTTATTACAATGTGGGTCTTACTTTTTATAGATTTGGCCTTGAATTTGATGGGGTATTATGTTGGAACATTATCACAACACACAGTGAATTAAGGTCTCAAACGCTCGCTCTCTGTCATTGTTTGCTAGTAAAAAAAGTTTAAATCCTTCAAAAAGCTGAACTATCCACAGGGTAAAGACCTCTAAAGTACATTTCTGAAATGAAAAAGTGAGCCACGCCAGCGATGAAAGAGGATACTGGTATTACACATCATGAGGCGTCAGCAGGAAGACTGGGAAACAACTATATTCTGTAATCTACGATAAGCATGTAGCGTGTACTATAGCAGAATATAGATCATTTCAAAAGCTATGATTAATATTAATACGCTTGCAAGTACCTTGCTAACTAACTAGACATAAGCTGATAAAATAAATAACTCAACAGCATTGTGAAATTTGGTATTTTTGGCCAACTACAGCCAGTTTGTTGGAGTTTCAGCCAGCTGTTCCATAACATAAGGCAATCAGGCCCCACCAATATAGGATTTTAATATTGATACCAATACTGATATTTGGCGATTTCTTAATTTGATAAATAAGCTGAATTATTTTTGTCTATGATAGAAAAAAAACAAACAGATTTGACTAACATTTGTTAAGTCTAGTTATTTATGTTAAACCTTAAATCATCGCAGCCGAATGACTATTTTTAAATGACTTTACTTAAAAATATAAATGTAAGTGAGTGTAAAATCTGTACTTGCATAGCAGAGTGTAGTATTTAGGTCAGTCTCAAATTGCTCTGTAGTATTTTTCATTAGTTTGTTTTTGAATTTGAATTTTACTTTAGCTTTTATTAGCCTCCGTGCTATTTATAGTTGTTGTTTTTGTCATAATATGGGTGCCGTTTGTCAGTGGCACATTAAAGACGTTCTAAACGGGGATCGGAATGTGAACGCTTGAGTCAAACAGAGTCCCAGTATCAAACATGTCTACTGATGCATCCTCAGATTGACTAATCAGACTATATTGAAAAGACTAGTCTAAAATTAAAGGCATGTTATATATATTTAATTTTAGTTTGTTTTTTTTTGTTTAACAGTTTTAATATAGTTGTAGTTAATTATAAAAAAACAAAAAAAAAACGTAATGTGTGAAAATAGTGAGAGGTATTTACCATTGATAATTTAAAAAAAACAGTGATTAGGTAAAACACCTGAACTTGGGACTGCTTTCACACTTTAATCATTTACATATTTATTTACGAGGAAAATGCTGTAGAAAAGAAAGTCATCGCACATTTCATGGACTACATAACTCATTTGCTTATTGTTGAACCGGGACAGATACGCTTTGCTAACACTTTTCAAGGAAAATCACGACCCATCTGTATAGTAGCAGAAGAAGCACGGACTCAACAGATGGGAAAATCCTAAATGCTCGCTACTGACTGAAAGTTTGTTGTTACCATCAAAATTATGGCCAACCTACAAAAATAATAAGACCCAGTTAGTATAAAACTCTACTTTGTTTACCTTTATGACATTGTAGATGGACAGAAAGACAAAGGAAAGGACACCGTGTGTTTATGTCACATGTTGCTCAACAGCTGTTTTCAAGCTGGAAACCACAAACTTTAACCAGCATGAAGATCTCATTCATGTGCAGCATAATGATGGCACAGAAGCCTGAATCAACATATCATTTGCATCATCATTATGGAGTCGTACGCAAGATACGATGACCACATGCACAAACACAGGCACACAAATACACACACACACAGAGCTTCTGGCTGCGTAATTACAGTCACACTCTGGTCCAACAGACAAACACATTGCCAAGACCGCCCGGGAAACAGGGATGTTGATTCAAATTGCTATTAAAGTGACAGACTCACAACACCAAAGCATCAACTTAACAATATACTTCTCATAATCGGATTATAAAGAGAGAGAAGGACCTCCTGGTAACCACATAAAACTTTCTCACTATCAACTTAACAAAGGAAAGAAGCTTTATAATTTCATTAATGTGTGGTGAAAAACATATGCGGCTATCATGCGAGTTCAACAAAGCTGAAACATTAATAACTGCAATTTTAACTCAAACACAAAAATGAAGCGAACAGGAAAAAAGCACTAGAAGGCTTCCACACAAAAAACAGAGTGGGTTGATAAAATAAGTGATGGAGGCAACTGGCAAAGACAGGAAAACTTTATGGGACTCCATAAAGGACTGTAGTCCTTAAGTATACTCTTGTATACTTAAAGTACACAATTTTTCTTTACGTCTATAAAACAGTTATAAAACAGCTAAAACGCTAACAGTTTTCATTTATACTTTATATCCAAAAAAAGGGAATAAATGTGCACCATATTAGTTTAGTGTTTTAATTTAAACCTATGAGCTATCCAAACAACACATATCTTGTGATATATTGTTATCTTTCACCATCTGTTACCTTTGGACAGAGCCTGGCTAGTCGTATTTCCTGTTTTAGCTTTTATGCTAAGCAACAAATTTAGCGTCTAATGCTGGGCTTCTCGTGTTACCAAACCTAAGCAAAAATATTCCCAGTGTTTCCCAAACTCTTAAAATGTTCCCTTACAGACTCCTTGCAAAACATACATTACATTTTAAGCTGAACCTACCTTCATTTTAGGCTCCAAGGTTGGCTAACAGAGAGCGCAGGTTAGCAAGAGAGGTAAATAAAGGAGAAAGACAAAGGTTTAAGAACAGGATAGAAGTAGGTGGATGGGAGCAAGAAAAAATTTTTATAATAGAAAATAAAACAAAATGTCAGGAGAGGTAGCTGAAGTTAAATCTAATGCTGTATCTTAAATCAGCCTCATTTTTCTAACTTGACCACGCATAATGTCAGCCATTTTATTGTTGCTATAGTGACTAGCAATGACTGAGTAGACAAGGGGGCGATTTTAGACCCATCATCAGGCCTTAATAAGCAGCAATATGTTCTTTTAAAAGTGAGCTGCGTTAGCTTAGTTAGCAAGAAGCAGCTATAACACAAAAACACAGTCTGAAGCTCCAGCCAGCTCTAGAGATACCAGGAGTTACTGCTTCGCTCTGAACAGAAACTCACTGACAAAATAATTTGAATGCAACTTCAAATCGTGAAGTCAAACGTGCGCTTAATCACTGAACTCGTGACCTCTGCTTACTCACTGGTGCAAATGGAATGCTATACATACCCAATTTCACGCTGTGATTACCATCTTAAGGCTGTGACCTGATGTCATGGCCTCTTTTCAGCCGGTGATTGGTCAGAGCAAATGTCTTGCAGTGAAGCTTGCAAATCTCCAGCCTAGCTTTTGTTTGTGTATCTTATGTCTGCAAGACAACAGAACTGAAAACACAAACTAAAACTTCCATTTGGAAAGTCAGATGTTCCTAGTGCTAAATGACAAGCAAATATAATAAAAACCCAAAAACATTCAAACAAAAAAGCCAGTTTTAAAAGATTATACCAATTGTTGCCTTTAAATTAAAGATTTTGCTAAACTAAGGATCTATTCAACCTCACCAGCTAAAAATGATGACGGCAATAAGTGGAACAATATGACAGACCTGACAATGTTACCTCAGCTTCATGCTCTACTGTCCCTGCAAAGCAAGACTGGATATACAGCTAATCATTGCTAGCCTATGTTGTAATAAAACTGCACACATATTGTTAGTTGAAGACAATCCGGTCGTTAAGTCTGACGTCACTAGCCGTGTCTGGGCCTAAACTCCGCTGCAGGTCCATATATCAAACGATCACTATGGCATTACTGAGAGTTGAAAAACTGTCTAAAGTCTTTCATCTTTAATAAAATGATCAGCGTTCTGCTCTACCAGGTGTAACAATTGAGTTTAACATCCAGGCATCCATGAAAACGGAATTTATGTAATTTAACGGAGTTAGAAGTTAACAGGAAGTTAGCTCGCTAGCTTCTATCTAAATACAATATAGCATGTCCTGACTGCGGGGTTTTGGAAACAAATTAAAACGTACAGCTCTGTTATCACTTCCAACATAAATGAAGACAGAAAACTAAACAGCAGTGACGTTTGTAGGGTTACTGAAGTTGGGCTAGCTGCTATATAATGATGTGCTACGTGACCGCTAGCGACACAGCTATGTTAGAATAATATAAACAAGCTAACTTTTTTCCACTCGATAAAAGTTAACGTGAGTGTTCTCGGTGGTCAGGAACAAATGTAATCGCATGGCAGGATGCTGTAAAAGGACCAAACTTCAGCCAGGAGAACAACTGAGATAATCCATCCACAATACGAGGTTAGTCATTCATATACTGCTGCATGGGCTGGGCTGTAGTTACATCCTAAGGTTTTAAAAACTGAGCTTAAATAAATGATTAGCGGTAATAAAAGCTGAGGGAGGTCAACAGTGATCACTGACTGTTTTAGGAGCTTTTTGAGATTAAATTAAAGTAAATACAAAACATTAAACATGTTAACAACACAAAAGCCATATTAAACGCAGACTACTTTAGGCCCGGAAGTAGGATTCGTCGTGTCATCACTGAACATGATAGAAAGGTTACTACTTAGTACACTGAAGTGACTCTGTTCTCAATGTATACAACTTAGTATTAACAAACTCTATAGCATGACTACTGTGCACCATGAATATAATGAGCTGAGAAAACACATAACCAATATTAAATAACAGGCAATAATCCATGAATATGGTCAGGTCATGTTTAGCAGAGACAAACAGAGACAGAATAATCAGGTTCACACATACACTGCATCTCAACTGCAAGCACACATTTTGTCATTGTGACTACAGTCATTATCAAGTCCGTATGTTTGAGACTAATGAGTCATCTTCGAAGTCAGTAAAAGCTGCAATGTTATTATTCCTCTAATTGTTAAAAACAGTAATAAAGTAGTAATATAATAGTAGTAAAGTAGCAGTAATAAAGATATTTTTAAGCCATGTAGGGGCTTATGTGGTTTAGTTCACTGCCTGCTATCTGCAAACTATTCTATGCATTATATTATAAATGTCATATGTTAGTACCTTCTGTGCAACCTTCAGGAACAACTTGAGAATTTTTTCTGGAATTGAATGAAAGACCTGCAGCTGAAAAATAAGCAGCAGCCTGAAAATTAATGCACAATCGTTTCTAGGAAAACTTGATGCTGTATGCAATTCTGACAGGATTTTCTGATTAGGCAGACCCACCCCTTTTGCACCGAGATCCAGAGAGGATGGGGAATATTTTAAACCATGCTGGAGACACCAGTGCAACAGGATGATGGAAAGCGGATTTCTTTGTTCACACAAAGAAAAGTACAGGTGCTGCTAATTTACATGCATAAGTGAGAGATGTATAAAGAGACCATCTTTGGTTTAAGCTTGGTTCAGACTGTACTGAAATGGGACTAAATATGAGATTAACTCTAAACCTTACTCGGGTTTTCTTGTTGACACTTGCCTATCTACTGACTAATATATGCGCGGTATCTGTGTAATCTAGTGGGGGCAGACACGCAAGCACATACACATGAGCTTTAGATTCAGATGACCAGAATTATAACAACATCACTATCAAGCCTACATGCAATACTACAAGTACTGGCTGGAGGATGAACCCAAACACACCCACACACACACACACACACACACACACCAGTATTGGTCAAATATATTTGCATTTTAACGCCTGCTGGATTTTACATACCTGTTAGTTGCCTTTACAACTTGAAATACACACAGTTTCTTGTTTCTTTCACAGTTCATCCACTCTGACTCCACGTGAAGTCTGAAATACTTTCACTTACTTCTTTTGTTTAGTTGTTTTTTTCCTCCCTATCACTTAAATCAAGCCCGCATGCCAAACATTCTTTGGCCGTAGCTTCAAAAATGTTCGGATTTGACGCTTGGCTTGATATTTTTTAATCAGCGTACACTGAACGTCTTTGGTTTTGGGATTGTTGGATAGATAAAGTCAGTTATTTGCAGGCTGCAGTTAGGAATTTGTAGACCAAAAGATTAACGGTAGTGACAACAATTTGTCATTTATGCCTTTATTCTTTATCTGAAGGTGTTTTTTTATTTTTACAACACAAAGGCAAAGGTATTTTCCACCTGACATTAAGTGTAAAGGTTACAAAACTAACCAGGAAATCATTAGCACACGGGCGTGAATACACAGACACCATGTTTACTGTAAACACCCTATGATGTGTTGGTGTAAGAGGGGGATGGTGGGTCTATAATTGGACCTCACCCACTCCCTAATTAACCGCCATATGTAGGATCCCTCTGAAGTCTTATTTCCCTCTTTGCATTTTCATCGTCTCCGTGTCAATCGCTGCCTCGCTTTACTCGCTAAGCAACGTTTAAAAACATCTCTTCCTCCTTAATTGATTAAAGACCGTGTCTCCTTCTCCAGACTGCCTCCATATGCCCTGACCCAGTGACAAACACCGTCATTACCTGACCATATAATGTCAAACACACACAGAGTGGAGGGACCACCCCTGGAGCCGATGTCTTACACGGACAAACTGATGAACACCTCTTGAAAAATCACAATGTGTAACAGCTCAGATGTAGAAAGCCAAACACATGTTATACTGCCTTCACCACAAATTATTGTGTGTGTGTGTAATGCCAGTCAGGAGAAAGCCATTAGTTGGAAACTGATAAAAGTGGCTTCTCCGGCTGCACCTTTGGTCACTGCAACTCTGTGTGTGTGTTTTGTAATAGCTTATGGGAGTGGTGTGTGAAAGAGGGCCAGCGTGCACTTAGTGCGAGTGTGTTTCAGCAGCTGCTTTGGCAACATGGTAAAAGTTGATGACAGTAGGTAACCTTTGGACTCAAGACATAGGAGAGCGAGGAGGGAGAAGTGAAGCCAGAGATGTGAAAGTATGCCATAGGATTAAATATGGAAGGAATGAAATAAGCGGGTCTGTGAAGATTTATTTAGTGTAGGTGTAGATGGCGTCTGATGGGCATACACACATACTAGATCTAAACACTAGATCTTCTCTTGAAGTCTTTTTAATATTTTGGTTAGTGCTACCTTCTTGCACATGCTCAGTACTTTTACGAGCACCGTTTTTCCTGTTTGCAGGTGCTGCACCATTTCATTTCCACGGGGTTCATTTAACTCTCATCTGATTGGGCTGTATAGGCAGCAAATGAACCACTAACCCTTCCGACGACAGAGGCACATTCTGCATACTGAACAATACCCAAGTGTGCACAGGTTTCACTCAGCTAAATAAAGTGCCAAGATCCATTTTTGTGATTTCCCCCCCTACTGGCACACACAGAGGACTGGCACTCTGTAGCAGATTAATGTTCACTAAAAGAGAAAATTGTTGTTTGAAAGGCACTTGTCTGATCAAAGTGCCCTTTGAGATTAAAGACAAAAGTGTTTGTCGTCGTCAGGAACGACTACAGTCCAGTCTGTGGCACAAAAAAAAATTCTTGTTTCTCCTGCAAATGCTCTCCGCTCGACTCGACGGACCTACCGAGCTGAACTGTTTCTCTGCAGAGAACTTGCTTTTAACGCAAGCGCAAAGAATTAAGAGCAACACGAGAAAGCCAACTCCTGCGCTGAACAGATGACAGGCGTCTACATTCAGGGAGCTGATCGGACATGTGCCACAAATACAAAAGCGGCTGAATAAT